AATCCTTCTTCGCATGCGTTTTAATTATTTATACCCGATCTATTTATTTTTAATACCACGTTTGCATCAAAAAACAACTTCTTTTGAAAATGTTGCCATATTTAGCGATACGCGGGTAATGTGATTGCCACGATTAAAACAAATTTATGGCCAAAATTTGCTATAATACTTGCATATCATTTGTTGTTGAAAGCCGTCACTGTAAAAATTTTTTCTTCTTCGCTTTCGGAAAATATCGACTTTTTGAGAAATGTTTGACATAATCCACTCGACAAGTGTTTTGAACGAGGAAAAAGCAGCAAAATTTTGTGTATAAATTTACCTTAGTTCACTCAAACTTAATATTCAAAGAGAAAAAAAATTATCTAAAATTACAAAGCTTAAACAATTTTTTGATTGCAAATCGAATTTTAACAGTGCAAGTATAAAGGTCTACAACATTTCACACTTACTTGAAAATCCGCTGCTGTCACTACACAGCCATTCAGCAGTCTTTCGAGCGGCGTCGGACGTCATTGTGGAGCGAAACGATTTTATTAACATGGCTTCAACAGACAGCATCAGGACGCAGCGCAGTAAAGTTCACCCGAGTCCGGGGGCGGGAACAGCCCGTACTGTGTGGGTACCTAACTCGAGTACAATTTGCGCGAAATAAAAAAAAAAATTACGCGAATGAACGTTGAATATCTGAAACGTGGGATGGGAATGGACTATTATCTGCGTTCTGCTTTATTTGCTCAACTTGTAAAGGAAAGACTACTACTACTACTACTCGAAGCCATGACATTTACTTTGATACCAATCCTGTTATTCCCAAGATGCCCATCTCGACTCCTTGGTTTACTCCCCTTCTTATGTCGTCCATGTCCACACTTTCCTCTTCGTTCATTTTTTGAAATAATTCCTCGATTGTTTTTTCCGAATTAGCCAGAACTTCGTAAATTCTAGAAATGCAATTACGTCTCTCCATTTTTTACAAGAATTTACTAAAAAAATATAAAAATGAAAAAAAATCGAAACACAAAAAATAAATTTCAATCAATAAATGAAATAAAATTTTGAAAAAGAGAAAAAGAAGCCCAGCTGCGGTTTTAAAGAACAGAATCTTACGACTACTTTTGATATCACATATGCTCAACGATCTAGGTGGAAGATTGGAAGAATCAATGAAGGCATCTTTTGACGATGTGTGGCAGTTTTTAGAAATTAACATCGACTTTTGACTAATGATCTGGAATCAAAAGTTCAGCGGACTCAGCTGACTCAAAAGGACACCGACTCCAAATTATTGGTCTGCAACTCTGATATCAACGCACTTTATAAAATATTAAATTGTTCATATTTCATCATTAATGGTATGCCGGTGGGAGTTAAGGTTATTCCGGCCGATGACGATGTCGGTAGATAACATAAAGTTTGGTCACCAACAAGAAAAAGTTTTTAATTTTCAAACTAAACTCAATTGGACTTCTTGATGGATTTATGGGGACGTACTTCAAAGATCAAAAAGCCCGCCCCCTGAGAGCTGCTGATTGTGCTAATGATGCTAAATTTTCGGGTGAGATTTTAAATCGTCGCGTTTATCTCAATGATTATCTCTGTCTGGATGCAGGCAAACTTAATGGGATACTTTCCAAATTGCGAAGGGAAAAGAAGATTATGATATATAAGATAATCAACCCTGTTAAACCTTATGCTACGCTGATCCTATCTGATGGGATCTGACCTTCTGAGCTTCTTAATAAAGTATTGCGTATTAGTACTGACGTGAATGGTAACGTTAATTTATGAAGAGTGTTGCCGTAATGCCTGTGATCTTCGCTTGTTTCGCCTAATAAATAAAACGTCATTGTAATAAATGATAAATAAAATATAAATGTATTGCTGTAAATCATTTCAGATATTGCATTCGGTTTCTTACCACGTACCTAGATCTCACTTATTACTTGTCATATTAACCCATATACGGAACCGTAGTGAGTCGTAGCTCATCTATCATCTGCTCTGTCCGTAAGCACTGTCAACTGTAGACAATTTCTCATATTAACTGTCAAAGTTTTAGGCCCCAAGTACCTCCCACTGGGTTTGAGAAATTCAAAACTCTCGTGGTGGATAAATTTGATTTACTTGCCATCTCTGAAACTTGAGTGAAACCTCACATCTCCAGTCGGTCAGGGCTACGCCCTTATTATGAATGACAGGCTCCAAATTCTAGGTAGTGGGTATCTATCTAACCAGTGGGATTAAATTTAAGGTAATTTTTAAATTTTCCTTGCTGGAGGCGAGCAAATCGCTATTTACTGAGTTGGGAGGTTGATGTTACAACTATTTTTAGTGTCGTCTACTTGATTAGTAATTTTATTGCTGTCTTCAAAGTAGTCATTTTGGGATATTGTCGAGCATAATTATTTTTGAAGATTTTAATCGTAACTTTTTTGATCCAGCTAATGTTAATGTGAGGACATCCATCTGCTTGAGATGTACCCATGTGTTACATCTTTACACAAACGCATTAGCACATCGAACCACATCTTTGCTTGATCTCTGGCTCTGAGTGGCTGTAGCTTGCTCAACCATTCTGACCAGATGCAAAGTCCTTTTATATCGTATCATGCCTTAAGTTTCCTAGTTTTAATATCAAATGCAAATCTCACTTCGTATTTTGAATATAGGGACTTCAAAAATATTGGCTGCAGTGATCTCTATTCCGCTATTGCTGACATTGACTAACCTACCCTCTTTAGAACCGCGAATATTGCAGTACAGCCATCAGGATCTTTGTTTAAATCATTATACCCCTTTGTCCTGGTTGTCAAGAAGAAAATCCCTAGACCCACTCATCGTGTTGTCGGAATGATCACGAGATGAGCTGTTGTATTACTTACACTAAGCTTGCTGTTTGGTTGGGTTATATGCTACGTTTGGAGTGGCTACGTGGTTAGTTTTTTTTGTTTTCTTTTGATATATTGATATATATAATGAATAAATTGTGATAACTTTAATTTTAAGTTAAGTGTCTTCTACATCTACTACACCCATGCGTTTTTAAATTTTTGGTAATAGCCTACATTTTGTTTTTTTGGGATAATCTTGAAATGCACTGGACAATATACGGCGTAATTTATACTTGCTTTAATACATTTAAATTGGCCCTTGGAGGACTGGTGTATTGAATTCTTGAATTATAAATAAATAATTTAATAATGTTACGAGGGGACTTTCTAAAGAGGGATAGATAAGCAATGTGGGACCGAAATGAATGTAGTTCTCGGTACACTTTGGCAAATAAATTATTG